TATGCTGGGAATCGTGTTCCCACTTTACTACACTACGATTGCACACTGAGTAAGCTGCTGATCGCCTCACAATCCTCACACAACCAACACCTTCACCCACAGGCCGTCGCAGCAATGGTACTAAGTGCAGGAATTGCAGCCCTGCCATTCTCGTTCTTAATCTACCTTGGGAGTATCTTATGCAGAATCACTGATCTGTCTGAGTGCTAACATGGTAATTTAGTAACGGCGTACTGCAACCCTTTGCACAACTTGGCTGGCGGTGTTGGATTTGTGTGCCCGTTCTTCCTTTCACCAAGGCTGATATGCGTGTTTGTAGGTATCGCCTGTCACCATATACCTATTTGATCGAAGGCCTTCTCGGACAAGGTTCGTTATCGTCTTTCTCTCTTTCGTTAGCAATTATCTCTCATCTATATCACAGCTATCGCGATCGGTGGCCAACAAGTATCCTGCTCACCCGTCGAATTCGTGTCGATCACCCTACCTAGCGGGATGACTTGCGGCGAATACATGAAGCCATTCATTTCGTTTGCAGGTGGCTACCTCACCTCCGACTGTCAGTTCAGCATTCGCACGACGGACCAGTTCCTCAATTCCGCGTTCAATATTTTCTATAACCACCATTAGCGGAATTTTAGCTTCATGATGACGCCCCTTGTGTTCAATGTGCGTTCTGGCAATCTACGTTGCCTACGATGAAAGCTAACGAGGTATGACAGTTCTCTTTTATCTACCTTCTCGCATATATTTTCTGGATTCGCGAAGGAAGCATTTTCTGGATTCGCGAAGGAAGCATTTTACCCTCTTTTAAGAGGCGTGCTGCCAAGAAGTAATGTAATATCTTGATAAACGGGCACTCGTCCCATAATCGTTTTGTGGGCTTCATCATAGATACTTAGAAGCTGGGTCATATGGCCTGAGGATTCTTCATTCTATTTACAAGGGAGCAATGGATATCAAACGGACTAATGTACTCAATTTATGTAGTATATTATGATCGATACGAAATCGTCATCGTATCACTAGTCGCATAGATCTAGAAAGGGAGGTAATATAATATGTCCCCATCCTCGATGTCCATGCCCTTGAAGAAGTTTGAGCAGGAGGAGTTAAGGATATACATTCTCATGCGTCCGAACGATGGCACGAACGCCTCATTTGCTGTGCATAACTTCAGAGAAGTATGGCGTATGGTGGAGGAAAGGCAAGACAAACCACATACTTAAGCCTGCTGTAGAGTACAGTCCCTCGTCGTCCATTTGGTCGTTACTGAGAAACTGGTCCGCCTCTGCAACTTTCATGGCGTTGAACAGCAAGCGTGACGATGTATATATGGGTGTTGGCCCTCACGAATATAAATAGCAGAAGATGTATATATGCATGTGGACAGATGACACTGTACACTTATGGATCGTATTGCGCACATAATCATGTGCCCAACGCCATTTACACAATAAATCAGAGCCAAAAAACAAAGACCGAGAAAGAACGTACACTCACTTGTAATCGCCATTCGGGAGCACTAATTCACTACATAAGTACCCGTATAACAACAAACGAAGAAACGATAGAGTACTTGCCGGCATAAGTCAGAGCCTGGTCAGCTATTGATTCCCACTACTGTTGTTGCAGTGATCCCCCCCACTGTTTCGTTCCCCAGAACGTTCAGGTTTCATTTTCGTTAAAAGCAGGTAAAGACGGACTGCGAATCCTCATCCACTACTTAAAGCCAATGCCGCCCAACCACATAGACCACTGGACACCCTCAGTCCTCACCATCCGACTTGGTAAGGAGTCCTCTCGTGTGTTTGGATGGGAATTGGGAAAGGTCGTCCTGGTGTTGTGGGTGCTGTTACCCCAGGATTTTTGGACGAGTGAATGTATTAACCTAGATGTGCTCATGATTTTCGTTCTGTTTCATTCTGGTTTATTTAAGTCAAATTTCAAGCACAAACATTCGAAATCAATTCAGCCGCCCCGCATGAAGGACGAGCCCCAGTGCTATGAGCAACCCGTAACCCTTCTAACTGCCCTGATACCCGTCCGCCCACCCTCAACCACTCGCCCCACACACCAATGCGCGCCATAAACCAAAAACTGCAGGGACATAACCACCCCTACCATGGAACAAATAGCGATCACACCTTCTGGCCAGGCGTCGAAAGCCACAAGCTCGAGGAAGAGCATGAGGGAGAGGGCGGAGGTGAACATGCAGAGGCCTGGGACACGCGCTGAGAGGGAGAAGAAGAAGTAAGAGCCGTATACGTCCCGAGCACGAGCCTGGATAAGGAAGGGTTAGAAGAGACAGCTGAGTAGATATAGGAACATACAATGAATGTCTGTAGGTCTGCCCAGTTATATTGCAAGAGAAACCAGGCGTCACATGCGATGCCGAGACCAGATGCAATGCTGCTCGTAGCAATAGCACGCCGAGCGTAGAAGTTGACATTGAATAGTGACCCTTGGGAGATGGAGAAGACGGCTGTATCGACACTGATGTAAGTGACATTAGCAACTCCTTCCGGGAACGAAGTCGAATGTACATACACTGCTATTGCGACTAGCTGTATGAAGAGTTTGGGTAAGAACAGAATCAGGAAGGGAACGAAGAGAAGAGTGCTCACCAAACCTCCGATATAGGTCCACTCCATCTGTAAGCGCGCGAACACCTTGTCAAATTCTGAGTCCATAGTAGCTTCCTTCAGTTCGCTGTACATCGTAAATGGCGCCAGCACTCTCTCCATCAGCGACAGCGACAGAGCGGCAATTTGACGATTTGTTGGGAAACGACAGTGAATTCGTGGACGCATGAGGTTGCGGATGATGATGTGAAGGTCGACGGTCACAGGGACGAGACGACTTTGGGGGCAGATTGATCTGTGGCTGCGTCGTGAGACCGATGGTGGAAGGCTATTTTATCAACTAGTGTGACACCGCAGATGTGGGATGCTGAAAAAGGTTCTTGAGCAACAGCTGCAGTTTCTATCGATTCGAATGCAACATCGCCCACTCGCATACGCACGCCGTCACCTATTCAGTTTACCGTTAGCTAGCGAAAGAACCAGCCACCGTCGAAGAACCAGCCGTTTTTGAGGCGGCCACCATTGAGGAACCAACCATCACCAGTGAACCAGCCGCTGTTGAGGAGCTAACAGTCGAGCAAGAGGTCGTCACTGGTGAACCAGGGGTTGTTCAGGAATCAACAACCGAGGAATCAGCCCTTCCTCAGGAGAAATCGGCCACTATCGACCATCCAGTTGGCACCAACATGCAGAACCAACAACACCCCTCGAAAACAGGCGAAGAAACGCCCATTGAGACTTTTGCACCAGCTGTACTTAACAAAGTCGGCTTCTGCAATCTCTTTTGCTCACATCCTGACTGGGTTTTCGCTCCTTATACCTTATGTATCGTTTCACTTGAATCTCTGTTAGAAACTTGGAGAGTCGGCAATTGCACGTTTGCTTCGTTGGTCATGATTTGTTCTTCGTTTACATATAGACAGATCTACTGTACCAGCACATCGACCTTCTGAGCCTAAGTCCTGACAGACATAATCAAATCAACATAACCTAGCAAACGGTGGATATCAGATACTCTGACAGGGGGCGGAGATCACTTACCCAATGGCACAACTGCAAAAGAAGATCGACAACTACCTAATAACCCAAAGGCAAATAGGAGACTCACAGCCTGTTTCATTCTTTGAATTAATCATCAACCAGAACCTGTTGAAATATTAGCAAGATGCCAGTGGACGATTGAATGAAAGAGTTATTTGACACAGCTTGAGCTTCATCAGGCGCTCACCCATGGGCATTGGGGCTTATATATATATATATACATCAACTGTCACCTTGCTACCAAAGCACGTAGGCTGTACTCAGGTTGAACGGGTAGCTCCGCCCTCCATCCATGCACTGGCCTCTCAGACTCTCAACTTCCCAAGGCCTAGAAAAGTAAGAAGAGCGTCGGAGCGCGAGTTCACGAGAAGCCACAACTACATGGGGAGTGGGGAAATACCGGGCTACCAACAGCACCACAGACAAGACACTGGTGCTTGTGCATGAGGCCAAGTGTATGGCCGAATTTGTGCGAAGTGACGCCTTTCCCCGATTCGGTAATTGGGTCATTTGAACCACCGATCCAACCCAAGTTCATCGTGTTCTCGTTGGCGTTGATGAGGCTGACTTCGTTCCCAACGTAGGATCAAGAGCCCGAGCGAGGATCGAAACTGATACGAATGGCGGCGTTGCCGTTGGCCACAAAAGTGAGCTTGAGTTAACACACTTCACCCACTCTTGGACGACAGTCTTGACTTTCTCTTGTTGCATAGCGTTCCCACCGATG